AATTAAGAAAGCTAATCCTTTTACAATAGCATCAAAAAGAATAAAATACATAGGAATAAATTTAACAAAAGAAGTATGAAGAAGTATAAGATCTGTACAATGAAAACATTTAAAAAAAAATAATAAAAACCTAATTAAATGGAAGGATACCACGTGTTTATGGAATAGAAGATTTAATAATGTTAAAATAGCAATACCCCCAAACAGTTCTATAGATTCAATGCAGTCTTTATCAAAGTTGCAACTTCCTTTTTATGTTGTTGTTGTCACAGAAATTGACTAGCTGGTCCTAAAATTCATATGAAAATGCAAGGAAGCTAAAATGGCCGGAGTAGTCTTGAAAAAAAAACAAAGCTGAAGAATTCACACTTCCCAATTTCAAAAGTTGCTACAAAATTACAGTAATTAAGACAGTCTGCTGCTGTTATATAATTAGACATATAGCTCAATGGAATAGAAATGAGAGTCCAGAAAAAAACCCTCACAGTTTTGGTCAACTTATTTTAAAGAGTATGCCATGACAAATCAATAGGGGAAAGAATGATCTTCAACAAACGGTACTGGGACAACTGGTTACCCATATGCAAAAGATGAAGTTGGACTTGTATCTCATATTGTACAAAAAAAAAAAAACCTGAAAATGAAATAAGTACCTAAATGTAGAAATTAAACTATAAAACCCTTAGAAGAAAAAAGGTATATCTCATGTCCTTAAATTAGGCAATGTTTTTTAGAAATAACATCAAAAGTACAAGCAATCATAGAAAAAAGTATTGGACTTTATACAAATTTTAAAACTTTTCTTATAATGAAGAGAATCAAGAAAGTGAAAAAGAGAATTCATAGAATCAGAGAAAATATTTGCAAATCGTATGTCTGATAAAGGACTGGTATCCAAAATGTGTAAAGAACACTAACAATAAAACTATAGATAACCCAATTTTTTAAATAGGCAAAGGATAGACAATTTTTCACATAAAATATATAAGTGGCCAATAAGTACATGAAGACATGCTCAACATTATTAGTCATTAAGAATATACAAACCCAAATCACAATGACATACCACTTCACACCCACTAGAATAGCTATAAACAAACAATCACAAGAGTTGATGAGAATGTGGAGAAGGTAAAACCTTCATGCATTGCTAATGGAAATGTAAAACGTTCATTTGCTTTGGGAAAAAGTTTAGCAACTACTCAAATTGTTAAAAATATAATTAAAATATAACCCAGCAATTTCATGCCTAGGTATACTCACAAAAGAATTAAGAATGTCCATAAAAATACTTGTATACTAATGTGCTTAGCAGCACAATTCACAACAGCCAACAAGTAGAAACCACCCAAATGTGCATCGACTGAGTTTATCAACAGATAAACAGAAGTGTTGTGGCCATGCAAAGGAATATAATAGAATCATAAAAAAGGAATGATTTTTTAATATATATATATATTCACACATATACATATACATATATATATAATCAATTGGTTACATATATGTATATGTATATATACCATAGCATCTTTGTCACAAATCAATTGATTTTATTTTATATATATATATCATAGCATCTCTGTCACAAATCAATTGGTTTTGTATAGACATATATTTATATAACCAATTGATTGGTTTTATATATATATAGAGAGAGAGAGAGAGATAGATAGATAAATATAGATATCAGTTGTTCCAGAATTATTTTGTGAAAAGACCATCCTTTCCTCATTTAATTACCATATATATATGGTAATTTATATACGGAATTTTAATTCATCCTCCAGTGATGAATTAAAATGCCTTTTGTTTCATGTCCTCAAGAGTATTTGATGTTGTCATATATATATGTCTGTTCCTGAACTCTGCTGTGTCATCGATTCTTATGCCAATTTCACATTCTCTATATATATATATCTAAAACCAATTGATTTATGACAAAGATGCTATGGTAATTAATGAGGAAAGGATGGTCTTTTCACAAAATAATTCTGGAACAACTAATATCTATATGGAAAAAACATAAAAAATTAAAACTATCAAATTTCTAGAAGAGAACAGAGAAAAAGCAGCCCTGTAGTAGATAAATGATTACTTAGATGTGACCAAAAATACACAAAGCTAAAAAGAAAATTTGATTGAGGAAATGGGACTTTAACAAACTTAAAAATGTTTGTACTTCCAAAGATGACATTTAGAAAATGAAATGCAAACAAAAAACTGGAGGAAAATATTTTCAAAATATATTCCTCATAGATACATTGTCTTCAGAATATATAAAAAACACTTTATAAGGTTTCTTTATATATTGGAAGATAACCCAATTAAAATTAGCAAAATATTAGAACAGACATTTCACAACACAAAACATGATACAAGAAGTACAAATAAGAACACAGAGACATACCGACATCATTACTCATAAGGGTTCTTCTCAATAATTTCAGTTTTTCTACTGAAAGTTTCCATTTTTTTACTTCTATTTCCTTTGATTAAGTATATTTATAGCTTATAAGCTGATTTTAGCCCTTTTCTATTAATTCCAACATCTGAATCATCTAAAAATTAATTTCTGTTGATTGTCTTTTTTCTTGAGACTGGGCCACACTTTCCTGGTTCTTTGAATGTTGAATAACTTTGGGTGGTATCCCGATGTTAAGCTGTGAAAACTCTGGATTTTGCTAATTACTCCAGTGTTTAAGTTTTTGTTTTAGTACTCATTTAATTTGTTAGATTCACATTGCAACATCTGTCACTTGGGTAGAAACTCAAACCTCAGTTCAGTATTTGGTTACTGTTTTTGTTTTGTTTTTAATCTTTAGCTGGGAAGCATTGAATCTGTTCCATACACACATGATTCAGGGATAAAGTGGAGATCTGTACGTACATTATACCTAGAAATTTGGACTATTCCAGCATGTCTGTTCTTGTCAATATTCTTCTTTTGCTTTCCATTTCAGGACATTGCCACAAACTCTATACTCTAGGAAAACTGTAATTTTTCTGAATGTTTGCCCCTGGCAGTATTGTGTGCAATCTGCTTTCAAGCTAAAAGGCACTGAATGTGCCATTCCTTTTTCCAAGTGTTGATTCCCCTTTAAAATATGCCTGCTTTGTTAACATACTAGTACTTTCTGTTTTTGGTTGTTTTCCTCCTATAGGAGATGTTATGTGGGGGATGGTAAGATCTAGTAAAAGCCTACTCAGCAGTACCGAGAACTTATACTTCATTAGCTTCTTATAATGTTAAGCATATGTCTACTATTAGACCCAGAAATTTCACTCTTGGGTATGTGACTAAAAGAAACAACAACATATCCACACACACAAAAAAACTTATTTAAAAGTTCATAACCTTATTACTAACAAGCAGAAACCGAAAATAGCCCAAAATGTCCACTAATATACAAAATATGGTGTATCCATACAATGAAATACTACTGAACCAAAAAAAGGAAAAAACTGCAGATAACTTACAAAATAAAGGATACATCTCAAAAGTAATGTGTGTGCAAAAGAAAGAAGATGTAGAATAGCATATACTGTCTGAATCCTTTTATAGGAATTCCAAGAATATGCAAAGTAAATCCACAGAGAAACAAAATCAAAAGTGTAGTTACCTCTATGGGTTGGGACTGAAGGTGTAGATTGAATGTTTCTGATCTGTGCTTTTAATTGAATGTATATCATACCTCAACAAAGTTTTTTGAACAGGATGATATATTAGGTCCAGAAGAAGTTAGTGGTAATTTTACCGCCTGTTCACTGAAATAGGCATAAAATTGAAAATGGGAGACCATACTACTAAAACTCATTTAAAAATTTTAAAGCCATTTCAGTGTTTTTTGGTTTTTGGGTTTTTTTTTTTGAGACAGAGTCTCATACTGTCACCTGGGCTGGAGTGCAATGGCGTGATCTCAGCTCACTGCAACCACTGCCTCCTGGGTTCATGCGATTCTCCTGTCTCAGCCTCCTTAGTAACTGGGATTGCAGGCACATACCACCACACTGGGCTAATTTTTTTTATTTTTTAGTAGAGACAGGGTTTCACTATGTTGGCCAGGCTGGTCTCCAACTCTTGACCTCAGGTGATGCACCCACATCAGCCTCCCAAAGTGCTGGGATTACAGGAAACTTTTGAAACATTATAAAAATTTTAATAGATATGCCTCTAGTCATCCATAGAGAAAAGGTCAAGAAATGAAAAACAAAACCAAAAAAGCCCATTTCATGCACAGAAGGTAAAAGATTTACGAGTGTCTGCTCTTCAGCGTCACACCTGCCTCGTGCATCCACATCTTTTTTTATCATGGGTTGCACATTGTATCACCATTATTTGTGTATGTATAAACCTTGCTCATTGTTTCTCTAGGGGCCACTTAATTAATGCTCATCCATTTATTGACAGCAAATGTCCAGTTGAGCTGTAATTTCTCATCGATTTATAAAACTAAAGTGACCTTAGATGGCATGTGGTTGAGGCTCCTCATTTGCTAATAAAAATATTGAGGTTCAAAATGGTAGGGAGATGTACCCAAGGTCGCACAAGCAAGTGACAGCAGATAAGGGCTCTCAGATCTGACATGCAGTCTGGTGCTCTTAACACGATGCAGTACACCCTCCTCAATGGCTCACCTACTTTTTGACTCTCTGGAGAGAAGGTTTTATTACTTCCTATATACAAGTAGACCTTTCTCTAATCAGTAGAAATACATTTATTCTGATGGTTTTCTAAGAAACTGTCCCTGAGAAAAGTATATGGTTGTTAACGTACATAATCTTCTAGGCCAAAGAAATACAAATCAAGAATTTAGCCTGAAGATAGGACAAATAATTGTGGAAATCAATACTGGCAGCTCTTTCTATATCTGTGGCTTACTTTTTGGAGTCCAGTCCTGTATTAGTGAACGTTTCTTCAGTTGCAAATGACAGGAATACAAATACAGCAAGCTTAGAAAAGAGACAAAAATCTATTGGTTTGAAAATGGTATTTTTACCTTGAGATGTAGCAGGATCCATGGTCTTTCAAGGGCTCTTTCTCCATCTCTCAGCATTGCTTTTCTACATGGAAGGAAAGATAGTCTCTATACCTATATCCATCTGATTCACTATTGTTCATATGACATATCTCATGAAAAAAAAAACCCTGACTGAAAATATTTGGGACATACGACTACCCTGGATCAATCACTATGCATGAGGAAAAACAGGTTCTATTACAGACTTAGCCAGGGTCACAATGCCGACCTCTAAGAAAGAGAAGAGAGGCGCACATTTTACTAGCACACTGGGAATCATAATATGAAAAAGATAGTTCTTCTAAGGAAGGGATGCTTTGCTGAGGAAAAAAACAAGTTCACTTCGACAAAAAGACTCCCTCATTAAACTAGAAGCCTAAACACATGGATCCCCTCCTAAAGTTGTTTGACATCCCAGGGCACTGACTCCTGCAAACTCTGTTTCTTAGGCTGCTTTGTCAACTGACTTCCTTCTAGGAATTCACCCAATGACAGGATTTTGAAATATAGGTTGAAGGAGAGCCACAGCATTTCTTTCCACTCTCAGCTTTCAAAGGCCCCTCCAGCATTATCTGTCTCCAAGGAGGCATCTCCACTGTGGTTTCAGTTCCCTTAAAGCAGCTTCCACTCCTCACTCCTGGTAAACCCTCTTCTCTAGCACTCCCCAGCCTGAGAGTGATACTATTTTCCTACTAATAAGTATCATCGTGTTGCCTCATCATCCCCTATTTGGCTTTTTAGTTGTTTGAACCCTTTTTAATTGGCTCCCCATTAAAGTCTCTCTATTGAATTACAACATATAGATATTATTTTTCTGACAGAACTCTAAGATGTGTGTTGAGAGGAGACATTTTCTCCCAAATAAGGACCAGGTTCCCCAAAGAGAAAAACCATTAAAGTTTGGCTGACTCAGCTACTCTTAAAGTGGAGGGAAAAAAAACTGAGGAACACTGTACTTCAAAGGATTGGAGAGAAAATCTCTTCTTTTAACAGCTGTTTTTTAGAGACAGAGTCTCTGTCACACAGGCTGTAGTGCAGTGGTGTAATCATAAATCACTGCACCCTCAAACTTCTGGCTTCAAGCAATCCTCCCTCCTGAGCTGCTGTGATTACAGGTGTGAGCCACTGCTCCTGGCCCTGGAAAATTACTCTCAATGAGCACCTGCACCTGCATGCCAGGTCATGAATTTCAGCTAGTAATACTCTGGTAGGATGCCTACTCCCTCCTCCCATCCACGTACTGTCTATGATTTCCTAGTTTCCTAAGACCTACTTCTTCTCAATCAGTCCATCTTCCAAGGAGGAGCATCAAATCCTCCAAGCTCCCAGCTCCTGGGTGTGCCTGGATACTTCCATCCTCACTGAAAGCCTCACTGGCTCATGGTATGAAGCCGAGTGGGGGAGGCAGGATACAGAGCACCAGGTGTGACTGGGGAGGCCAGGCTTTCACAGCTTCCTCTGTGATGGTTTCTCATCCCTGCAGGCTCCCATCATTGGGTCTCTTTTTCCATTTGAAAATGGAGGAAATTCGACCAACTGTCTAAAAAATCAACTCTCATGTTTTAGGTTCTAAGATTCTATGGTTAATTTAAGTGACAGAACCACATTATGGCTGCTGTTTCATCAGCACTGTGAAGACTGTACAAGCCACACCTCAGTATATTGGCTGACCTTAAAAACACCTTGTCAGTACTTGATATAGACACTCAAAGTAACTCTGAGTTGCATCTTACTTTTCTTACTTAGAATAAAAAGCTGATTTTGATTATGCTCTTTGATTATGCTATCCGATTATGAGGATTCCATGGTAAAGAATCATTTGTTTTCTCAGTTGGTATTTCACTTTCAAAAGTATTTAAGAGGTAATTATTTTTTTAATGGCAATATTTCAAGGTCAACATTTTCTGTGCTTTCTAATTCATTGTATTTGTATCATTCTTCAAAGATCCTTCATAATCATTAAGAATTGGACTGTCATTTTTAGTCCTCATATGACACATGAATACACTGAGGGTTAGAATAAGTGAACTGTGTCTAGAGCACACGTCTGGATCTAGAATGTAATAACCATAAAGGGAGGGGATCTTTTTTCTTAGGGTTGAGGGAAAGGTCTGTTTTATTCACTGATGTTTATAGTGATTAGAAGAGTGCTTGACACACAGTAGGTGTCAATGAACATTTGTTGACTCAATAAATGAATGAATCTAATTAGTGACAGAGCTGGGTCTAGCATTCTCTCCTCCCTCGGCCATTGCTCCTTTAGTGCCGTCTAGAGTTGTTCTATGTTCTCAAGAGCCCCACATTTCCTTTGTGGTTTCTGGATGCACCTGTGGCTGGGTTTGTGAGGCGAGGCCAGGGAGCTTTCCTGGTGAGGGTCCACTGGCACCCCCGCCTCACAGCAACACAGGGGAAGAAAGCAGGGTATCTGTGGTGGTTGCTCCCGAGAGACTAAAGCTGCTGCCCCCGGTTTCCCAAGGACGCCAGTGAGGAAAGCCCACCGGTCCCGCCAGCCGGGCGCTGGCCTCACTTTACCGCGGGAAGGGACCCGGCCTCTGAAGGCCCTGGCCGCGGCTGGGCGGGGCTCTCCGAGGCTCCTACCTCGTGGACCCCGTCTGGCGGCGGGCGGCTGCTGCAGGAAGCGGGGCGGCCGCGCTGCCCCTCCCGAACACTGCGGCGGTGGCAGCGCCAGCCCCGCAGCGGCCGCCCACGGGCTCGCGGAGTCGGGCGGGACCTGCGCGGGGCGGGGAGGAAGGGCCGGGGCGGGGCGGGGCGGGGCGGGGCGGCTGCGCGGGGAGCCGGGCGGGGGCGCCGCGCTCAGACTGGGGCTGGCGCTCGGGCTGCGCGGGCTCTGGGCAGCAGCAGCAGCAGCAGCAGCATCCTCTCTTCCTTTACTTCCCTTCCGCTTCTTTCTCTTCCTTCTTCTTTCCCCCCCTCCCCTTTTCCCCCCTAACCCGTCCACCCCTCTGCTTCTTCTCCGGAGGGCGCTAAGTCCGTCAGCGGTGGCAGTCGCGACCGCGGGTGCATCCAGTTTCTGCGCCCAGGTAAGAGACGGTCCCCACCTCTGGCTCTCTGTAGGGCGCCTCTCCTTCTGCTTCGGTCTCTGCAGAGAAAGAGGTGGGAGTGGGGAGGGGTTGTGTCTCGTCCTTGGGGACTCGGAGCTGGCATTCTGGGAGTTGGTCGAGCTGGCCAGCCGTGCACCTGGCGGAAGCTTCGGGCCTGGCCTCTCCAGGTGTCACTGTGGGGCAGGGGACCGGGAGCTGCTGGTACCTGAGCCCTGGCTTCGTACAAGAGCGAGTGACCTTGTTAGGTACCACTTTGAAACGACTGAAAACTTACATCAGGTTAGAATACGTGTATCGAAAGCCAGTATTACCTGAGCTGTGGAAAGAAGGGGAGTGGATTCTACAAAAATAGTGGAAAAAAGGAATTCGAGGTAGGGGATTTTTTGTTTTGTTCCGTTCATCCAGCTGCAGAGAACTGCACACTGGCCAGTGAGTGAGGGAAACCTTGTCCATTTCAAATCATGTTTCCCTGTAATTCCTCCAGAAACAGCTGGGAGAGGAGAACTGATATTTATAATTTTAGGAAAATGAAAAATCAATGTCTGGTGGTGTTGGAGGGCAGGGCATGAAGAAATGAGTCTGGTTAAGCTTCCACACAGTCGTTTTTCTTTTTAAACGGTGGGGTGGACATCTGAATCTACAGTACATCTATTCTTTTCTTCTTTTTCTTTTTAAAAGGCTTTTTGGTGGGGAGAGAGGGACTGCAGTGCTGGCTGCCATCCTTCCCCCACCTCGTCTTTTGTTTAAGGATGGAAATTTCAAGAAAGAGTGTGTAGGGGGCTAGGAACAGGGAGGTGTATATTTGGGTGTGTATGGGGGGAGGGGTAGTAAAGGGGATGGAGTCAGATAAAAGCATCCTTGAAAACTGGAAACTAATGTTATTCTGCTTGATTTGCATCGGGGCTTCAGGATTTCATCAGAAAATAAAAAGCTTTCATTAGCAACAAGCCCATTTGTGACAATTGCTGTGTGCCATCTGTTGTAAGCCATAGATAGCACAATGCTTCCAGGACATAGGTCCTTTAAAATTAAGTCAGTGTAAAGGGTTTTTGTTTAAATGCATAAACATACAAGCATGCACACAAATGTATAATACACTATATACATGTTACAAAAGGAAATAGGTACTTAAAAGACTAATTTTTAAAAATTATCTTTGAGGGTTTGGAAATTATGTTGTGAATAAAATCTGTAGTGCAAAACAAAAAATATTGTTGGATGGTATATAATTTTGGGTGTGAGGCAAAGGGATTGATGACTGTTGGTAAGGAACTAACTTAAATGTTAAAGATGTAATTTATTTTAAAATGATCAGTCTAGAAAAGATGATTGCAAACTGAAATTGAGGTTTGCAGCCACAGTGAGGCGATGGAGAACAAAGCCTTTTATGTGAGCCACATTATGCAAAATGTCCCATGCATGAGCTGCAGGTACCAGCCCAGTTCAAAAGCATAGTTCTTTCACTATGTCATTTCACTGTGGACAATTATGATTATTTTGGCAGTCAAAATAGATTGAATAAATAGAATCCCTTTTAATTTTATGCCCAAGTACAGCCTTCCATCAGAATATAACACAAAACAGCCCTTTATCTGGGCAATAGGTATTTGTATTTTGGTGGAAATCCTTATGAATTTGCAAATCATGGATGTTCCAAAAGCCCCAGCTCCATGCACACAAAGAATCCTTTCTTCAAAAAGGCATTTTTTTCGTTCAGTAAGGATTATTGTGTGTGTGTGTGTGTGTGTGTGTGTATGTATATATATTTGTTGATTTCCTGGTAATTTAATCTGATTATCATAGGTTTACATCTGCAGTCATGATTTGTATATTATCAGAGCCATTGTGGCTTTAGAATCAGTATTACATGCTATTTATCTGTGGTTTATTTAAATTTTTGATATTTTACAGTTTGCTACAATATTATTTAATGTCTAAAGTTTTTTCTTTTTTTAAACTATAAGTAGAAAATTGCTTAAGACACATCTGAAGATCTAAGTAATTTAAAAATAGAACTTCCTTTTAAAAAATAATATTTTAGTTATATTAATTTTTATTTTGTCTCTCTCCTCTCTTCCCCGCCCCCGCCCACCTTTTCTTACCAAATAGCCTGTTTTTTTGGCTGCTTTAGTCTTCTAGTTATGTCTAGACTGCCATAGCAGGGCTCGTGTTCTCAACAATTTTGAATTTAGGATTGTTCATTCTCTGCAACAACTCTCAGGATGACTTGTTTACAATACCTTCTCAGGGAGGAGAGAGGGAAAGAATGTGCTGAAAGAGCATGACCCAGTGAAACTGGCACAGCCATTACCTCATCCTAGTAGGTACTTCAGATTCATTGAGAGAGCAGGCATCCTCTCAGTGGAAACCAAACACCAGGAGCACACCCATCTCAGGGCAAAAGCCTTTCTCTTCCCATAGCAGCCTCTACTACTGTCCTTCTGCTGAGGTTAAAGGGATATTTTCTCTTTTATGTATTCCTTTTCAGGGATCTTGAACTTAGCCAGAAATATGTAGCCAGAAATGAAACTTGGCAGAGAATCCTCTAAGCTTGAAGGAATAATTTCATTCGTTTACCCCTTTTGGTTTAAACCAGTTTGCAAATTTTCTAAACATCAGAAGGGAAAAGGAAGAAAAATGTTGCTGTATTTTTGTGTATTTTCTTATCACACGCACACACACATATTTTGTATTGAATTTTACTATGATTCATTGATGTTCATGTGAGACTGACCATATGAAACTGACTTAGGGATTTTAGAATTCAAATTGGTAACTCTGATTATTGAATTCTTTTCAATACTTAATTTCCTCTTAACAGATTAAGATAAAGCATCTGAAATAACAGTTGCAGCAGAAGATAACACCACCCCCTGATCAATACTATCCTTCTTAACGCTAAAAGTAGTCACTTTAGGTAAGTCTTTAGTAAATGCATAAACCTGAGGATAACAGTTTTGAAACAATCTCAAACTTTTTTGCCTGTTATAGATGAGTTAAAGATGGTAATAAACTCTTTGAGTCATATCTGATTCTCTCAGATATATTAAATCTTTTTCTACTTTAATTATCTCTTTACTATTGCCATTGCCTTTATCTACTCAATCTAGACCTTTTCAGGTAAGGGCTGTATTTTGATCATTTCACCATTTTCCCCCCCTTTCACACTATTCTTTTTAATTTGATATTTGGATGTTAGACTTACTATTCTCTAGATATTTTGGATTCAGTAATATGCTCTTGATACAAATTTGGCCTTTACTTTTCTTTAAGGAGAGCACTTATTACTATTTATGTATTTATTTATTCATTATGAGAAACAACTTTTGATATTCTGAATTATTGATTGCAGAAAATGATTCTAGGTACCAAAAGCAGTTAAAGGACTGGAAATCAATATGTAGTACACAAAAGGCCAAAGTCAAAGGAGAGGGTTTGTATGGAGGTTTGGGTGGATGGGTATATAGGAAGATGTGGAATGAAAGCAAATTCTCAGCTATTAATAGCTGTGCATGTAGGGTAGAGTTGAACCTTTGTCTAAGAGGGTGAAGAAGCAAGAAATGTTTTGTTTTTCTGTTTCAACATATTTTGTCCCCATCCCTCCCCTGTCATTTCTTTGAACTAAGGCTATGATGCTTCCTTGGAAAAATTATACAGTATGCTTATTGAAAGTAGTTTTACAGTGAATTAGGTGAGTTCAGAATTTTTTAATGATGTGAACACAATTAGATGAGTTTTTATGAAAAACACTTTGAGTCTAATCTTTAATATTTCCTGTTCAAGACATAAACTTTCCTTTGAGTGATAGTACTTTAACTGTAATACATTTTACTTAAACATTTTAGTAAAATTCTATGGAAAGTTAGACAAAATAAAGAACTCAGGATTCTCTTTCAGTCCATTGTTAAGTTTGTACTGTGGAAGTTGGGGGAAGTTTTAGACAATTTGTTTTCCATTAAAAACACACACCAGAGGGGGAAAATTTCTATTTTTTTTTCTTTTTATTATGTTAATGAGCCTTTTAGAGCAAGTAATTTACTTTTAAGTTCACACACCTGGGCTTTTTTCTTTCCTTCTTTGTTTTCTTCTTTCTTTCCTTTCTCCCCTTTCCCTTCTTTACTTCTTTCCGTAGATTGCTCCTTCCTTTTAATTTGTATTGGCAAAATAATCATTCATCTTTAGAAAATGAAATTATAACCTGATATTCTTATTGAAATTTATTTTTCATTAATCTGTATTTCTCATTTAACATCAAGTTTTATGCTAGTCTCCTTCTCAAGGCTCCGTCTCTATCTTGATCCTTTCTTTGAACTTTGCTTTCATATCCCCTAGGCCTCAATAGTTTTTTTCCTTATATACCAGTCTTCCATAATGCCTTCTACCTCAAAAAGGCCTTTAAAAATCAGGAAGAAAAGATACTACCCTGTTTCTCCCCATTAGTTTGTATTCAAGTTTATTCAGGTTTCTTTAGGTTATAGATAGTTGCTCGCCTCAATGTGTCCTCATCGGCTGCCTTTGAATTACTTTAAAGAAATTTTGCAGACCGAAAATAATACATCTATACAATGAATTCTTTTTCAAACTAAAAAATTTGGTTTGTCAACTGACTTGATTATTTTATGCATCAGACATTATAAAACATGGTTCAACTGGTTTTTTTTTTT